CGGCCCATGGGCCAAATGTGTCACACGCTGGCCATGCCCACCCCCATTTTAAAGAAGGGGGGGAAAGTTGCAATACAATAGTTTCCTGAATGACATTAGGGTGGAAGCCATACTAATCTGTTACTTAATATATGTGCAGTTATCTCCATATCAGAACATCTCCAGTAATAATTTTGTATTGACACAAATGTGCATGTTTGGGAACCTCCATCCTTATCGAAATACTAATTTGGGAGATGTTACTTAGTTACCTAAGTAAGTATGTTTTGGTGAGGACAACTGTTGATTGGACTTTATGGGAATAGTATTAGCAGAGGAGTCAGTTCTGAGCTTCCTTTGAAACCAGAAAAACTGTAATGGTGATCAAGGTACTAGTTCCAAGCAATCAAAATTCTCCTTCTAGAGTATTGCGCATAAAAAATTCAATTGGCCCAGTATGCTACAGTAAAATTACTAATTGCAGCAAGTTAGAATTACATTTCATTTATATTGGCTACTCAGACTATGCTCTGTAAAAACTGTCTTGCAAATGAGCATTTGTAGGTTTTGGGACCACCTGGTTCCAAGACTATTTCGTCTTTGACTTTGAATTTCCCCTTTCAAGGGAGGTGTGCAATCTGGGACCTTCCTGAACTCATAGCTCCTGCTCAGTGAGTTGGCAGGTAAGGCCAGGAAGGCTTTGCCACAGTTTCATCTGATGCTTCAGTTGCACCCTTTCCTAGCTTGGGAAGCCTCTCAGTCACTCATGTACTTGTCACTTCATGGCTTTACTACTGCAAAGTACTTTACATGGACCCTTGGAAGCTTCAACTGATCCAGAATACAGTGCTGTGGATAGTTATGGACATGCTTTGCTATGACCATGTGATATATTTGTTCCAGTAGCTGCACGGTTGCCAGTTTGCTTCCAGGTGTGATCCAAGATGCTTGTTCTAACCTATAAAGCCCTTCATGGTATGGAATCCAATTTGAGGGACTGCCTATCTCCTGTGGTATCTATCCAGGCAATGCAAATTGACAAAATTGGCACATGTGTGGATCCTTTGAATAAAAATGCTGTCTATCAAGACACAGGAAGCTTGCCTTCTCTTATCACAGTGCGTTCTCTCTGGAATGAGATTCCTCCTGAAATCCTGATCTTCCCCTTCTTGGTGGCATTCTGAAGAACCATAGAGAACTGTCTGTTCTCCCAAGCCTTGGGCTGGAGTAGCTGGTTGTTAGTTGTTGATGGAATGTTTTGGGGTTTTCTGGCTTCAGCAGTTTTGCTTTTCTTTGTCTGAGTTTGGTTTTATTGTTTGTTTCTCTCTGTTCTGTTGTTTTTATATTGTTTTTATGTATTGTGAGCTTCCCAGAGTGGTTTGGAGTCGAGCAACATCAAATCAATCAGTGTATATGTGTAAATATAATGCTGTTGTTCTCATGTGAATGGTATATCCTTCAACCTTTTTTAAAAAAAAATCTGAGTCCTGTTCTTTATTAAGGATAAAATATTGTGCTTTTGAATATTACATATAAAGTAAATATTAAATGCAGTCTGGACACAGTTAGAACAGAGATTCTGGTCAAGCCCCAAAGAATTAAAATGGAGGAAGACTGCAGGCCCAATTGAACACATGAGAAATAAATAAGTGAATATGTCAGCAATAGTAGCACCAGCATAAAAGTACTGACAGTATATTAAAAAGAGATATGTTTTATATTATATTCTCTTCCCTGTCCTTCTCACATTTTTCCCCATAGAATATTCTTTCTCACATTGAATGTTTTTTCAATATTCAAGTGTCCACATGACCCAAACAATATCCCTACAACCTGCAACATTTCAAAGTGATATTAAATAAGCCTACCATATGTTGTTGATTTAAAAAAATATTTCAGAGAATGATGGGTCTTTTATTATGTGTATGTTTCCTACTGCTTAATATATGGTTTATCATAAGGACTCATCACTAGCCATATAGCTTTCATTATTTATTATGTTCCACTTATTATTAAACAAATAGATGTGGCTTCTATTGATCCCAAAATATTCTGTGATAATGTTCATAGTACTGCCAGCTGGTACTGGACACAGCACTACAAACAGAAATGACAATTTTTTTGCTATGTTTGTTACTGAAACAATAATATTGAGATTCCTCTCTAAAGTTTGATTTAAATGTGAACGATTCTGGTTTATAGGTTCTGAGTCTTCTTATGTGGTCAATTAAGGTTTTTTTTAATTAATAATTTAATTAATACTTTGATTAATATGAGGCCCCATACCATAAAAACATGATTATTCCTATTTTATGTATCTCTGTACACTTTCATGTAATGAGCATCTGACTTTTGTTTATATATTTCAAATAGATTTTTCCTATCAGTGAGTAATGATTTATTCCACCATTACTAAATGCACAAATAAAACTTCAATTCCTAATAATGGCAGTATATTATGTTTGAACTGAATAACATATTTTACACCATAAAAGTAAATTCAATTAGTATAATTTAGAAATATTTTTACTCACAGAATCCACCAGTTAATTATAACCAGTAATAAGTGGTAATATAGCCTTAATAAAAATGTGAAAATAAACTGACCATATTAAAATATTTTAACAAGCAACAGATGGAAAACTTTAAAAGGAATCTTCGTCTAGCCTTCCAGAAATACAGATTTCATTGCCCAGAATTCCCCCAGCTACTATGGCTACTGCTTAGAATTCTGGGAATTAAAATCACATACCTGGAAATAACCAGGGGTGGGCTACTATGGATTCGCTGGGGTTCGGGTGAACCTGTTGATAACGTTATGGCTGGTATAACTGCCAAATTCCACCCCTGGCTGGCCCCTCCAACCGCACCCTGCCCCTCCCACCCTGCCCACCCCTCCCAAGAATCTCCACATTTTGGATGCTAAGTGTGCAGGGCCTGTGTGGAGGCTCAGGAAAGGGGGGAAACGGGCCTCCCAGAAATTCCAGAAGTCTGGGAATGGGCCCATTTCCAGCCTCCAGAGAGCCTCTGGAGCCCAGGGGAGGCAGTTTTCACCCTCCCAGAGGCTCGAGGAAAGCCTACAGAGCCCAAGGAAGGCAAAAATGCCCTCTTGCCATGGTGCAGGAGGCCAACTAGGCCACGCCCATCATGGCCATGCCCACCCAGCAACCGGGCAGCGAGCCTACTGCTGAAATTTTGAAAACCCACCCCTCGAAATAACCCAGTTTAGGTAAAACTACAATAAAAGCTAAGCTTTCCATGATATTTATTTATTTATTTATTTATTTGATTTGCCAATTGTTTACAAGATAATAAGTATAAGTGTATACATAGTTGTGAATACATGAAATGGGTACATATAAGAAAAATAAAAGAATAAGAGAAACAATAGGACAGGGACGGTAGGCACGATGGTGTGCTTATGCACGCCCCCTACAGACCTCTTAGGAAAGGGGTGAGGTCAATAGTAGACAGTCTAAGGTTAAATAGACAGTCTAATTTATTTGGTCAAAAGGGAAATGAATCATTCAAAATTTCCTAAGGATAAAGATGGCACTAGCCATTGAAATGTAAGATCTATAATTTAGTGCAATATGCTGATCAGATCTTATCTTCACATACAACTGTAGTCTTAAAATATAGTTGATGTTGGATGTTGTATTCTGTGGCACAATGGCAATTAAAAAAACATGCTGTGTTCCATCAACCTCAGACATATTATCTGGCACTCAGCATAGAACAACTACTGTGATGGGAGAATAGCTGAATAAATAAATTCTTCCCACCCCAAAAATAAAAAAAAAAGCAAATGGAAAACATCTCATTTTCTCACTGTGGTAGCAAAGTTCTTGCATTGTGGCTCTGTATTTTGGCCCATTTACCTAATTCTGCTGACTGGCCATTATGTTTAGAAACTACAGGTGGTCTTCAACTTATGACCCCAATTGAGCCCAACATTTTTATTGCTAAGTGAGGTGTTTGTTAAGTGAATTTTGGCCCATTTTACCACTTTCCTTGCCATAGTTGTTAAATGAATTGCCGCGGTTGTTAAATTAGTAACACAATTGTTAAGTGAATTTGACTTCCCTATTGACTTTGCTGGTCAGAAGGTCACAAAAGACAATTGCATGGCCCCAGATGCTTCAACCATCATAAATATGAGTCAGTTGCCAAGCATCTGAATTTTGAACATGTAATCATAGAGATGCTGTAACAGTCATAAATGTGAAAACAGTACTGTTCTAACTTTGAACAGTTACTAAACAAATTGAAGACTACCTGTATACTTTGAAAGACAAGGTAAATCAGATGCCCCTTATAACCCAATGGAGCAAAACACAGGAGAAGAAAAGAAGTTGCCGTTCATTTTTATTGCAAGTGAAATTTTCCATTTGCAAAGTATCTAGTAGAAAGAAGAGGGCAGTGAAGAGGACATGGCAATATCACTGTCAGATTGCTGGAGAGTCCAGGCACTCTATAAGCAATAAGATGGATCCCACATCTGATAATGCCATATTCTTCTGCTGTGTACCACTTACACTGCATCTCCATAAATTAGGCTGAAGATTAAAAAGTGGAAGTAAATAAAAAGCTTTATTTACTTTGTTGGCTTAGACTAGCTTATAAGGAATTATCCTTTTGATTAGAGAACCTTGAGTTATGCTACTTCCTTAGAATTAAAAACATTCTGAGGTCAGGAATTCGTTTTGAATATTAAAACTGAATGACCCCCATTGTTATTTCATCCAACAATCACTTCCTGATTATCTGAAGTGTTCTTCATAATTTAGACCATAACTATTGTTTAAAACAAGAGATCCAGAAATGCTGCAAATCACCCACTGATTTATGATTAGATCAATTTTTCTTTGGTTCCTTTCCATTATTAGTTATGTTGCAGTAAAATACAGAAGTTATATATAAAGGTAGCCAACTGTAATTCTAAAATAGTAATGTTTAGTCGGATTTATAGTACATCTTTATTTATTGTTGATATTAATAATGTGTATATTTGTTCCTAGATACAGTTAAAAGTTGTGTAGCAAAGTTGTCCTTCAGCTGTCCCCTGAAAAGTCACTACTGCCTATACAGTAAATCCGGTTTTACTCTCATCAGTCACCAGCCTCAACTTTGGATCCATATCATGTTTCTCTTTCAACAGGTGTGTACAATATGAATATAAACATCATCATAATCATTAATGTATCTGTCAATTAAAATCTGTGTTAGGGGTAATCCCTTGAGATATATTGATATAAATCAATGTTGTTCTGAAGATACTCACCTCCCACTCAAAAGGTCGAGAGTTCAATCCTAGCCAGTAAAAGACATTTCTCTATCAGGTACCTGACAAACTACTCCTAAAACTAAAATCTTATGGTATCTCTGCATAACTGGATAGAAGCATTCCTGTCAAACAGACAACAAATGGTCAAAATTGGGAGCATCCTATCAAATTCTGTACCTGTCAACAGTGGTGTCACCCAAGGCAGTGTTCAAGGACCAACTCTCTTCATACTCTACATAAATGACCTCTGTGATCATATTAAGAGCAACTGCGTTCTCTTCGCTGACGATGTAAAGCTATTCAACACCAATGCTGCCAATTACCAAATAATTTTTCAAATGAGGAAATGGAAACAAGTTTAGAGTATTCTGTGTAGCAGCCTTTTAACATGAATTTCTGACAGAGAATAGCAGCTTCAGGTTTTGACAGTAGCTTCAGGTCCCATTCACAGTATGGAAGAGTCACTTTCCAATGATGAGTTCCAATACTAATGAATATGGTTTGATATTATAATCACACTGTTTTGGTCAATCTTATTACCCCACTGCCCCTCTGCATTTTCAGTAAACTCACAGTGTGTTCCAAATTTACTAGTGTGTAAGCCTGATTATTTTTTTGGTCTCTGCTGGTAATAATGTGTTTGTGTAGTAAATTAAACTTAATTATATGTAAAGAGAATATTTATTTCCATTCAGCCACAAACATTTACTCTAGTCCATAATTGTTCCCTTTTAATGAGCTTCCCCTTCTGCTGATGGAGCTAGGTGAAAATTCTGAGAACTGGGGAATGCTATAATAATTTTCATTTTTAACAATGTAATTATCCTTCTCTCCTTAGTTCATGAGGAAGCCTCTATACATGCATCAAATGATTCTTTGCTCTGATTACTGTTATGTTTTTGCTTGCTGATCATTCTATAGAATCCTAGAGCCTGGCCAAACCAAGGTTTATGTAAGAAGTTCATTATTTTTCTTATACTGTAATCACACAGACACATACACACACACACACACACACAATTTTATGATGGACTGGCAGTTAAATTAAGATGTCAGTAATTTTCATATAGTTGAGTTGTACATACCCATCTAGGAGTGGACATTTCTGAATACAATAAACTTTACTATTAACAAACATGTATCACCTTATATTGTTGATCAGTTTAATTTGAAAATACATAATTGGAAGTAAATCTGGAAAACTAAAATAAAATTGTTTTCTAATGTCAAGCATAATATTTCAGCTGGATATAAGTGATTTTTTTTATCTGAGACTGCTGTAATTTGAAAGAAGGGAGTCAGTCCCAAACTTTTGTCTCTGCTCATTTTAATAGTATCACATCTTTGTAAATACTGCCTATGGAGATTCTATGGAGATATTTGCACATACCATTTAACCATAAGTTTGAGTTTAACAAAAAATAGGAAAGAGAAAATTGTGTTGAATCAATTTGGTTGTGGCTCTGAGAATTAGATTTCAATTTATAGATGAGTCAATATGATAAATGCTTGGGTTGTGTTTTACTGAAAAGTTGCTTATAGCATTGATAAGATCTTTTATAAACACAATCTATAAAATTGTATGAACACAATTACACCATGATTTGCATTATCTTGCACAATGCTCAAAGATGGATGTGTCAAAATCATGAAAATCTTTAAATTTATTTAAACATCAAAAGTATGTTGATAGTTTTGTTCTAATGTAAGCCATTCATCCAAATATCTGTATGTTAGTTCAGTTTATGTTAATAATTACATAAGCTCCCAAAGAAGCTATGCCATCATTGAAGCAAAACAGTACCAGCTTCATTTGAGAACACATTTCTGGATATTCTCTCTCACACTCACTCCAAATATTGTCCTCAGTACTCTGAACATAGTTACTATCAGTATCTCATATAGTTAAATATATAGTTTAGAAATATCAGGCCCAAATCATTGTTTGTCCATTGGTTATTGATTATGTACCATCAACTTTTTGTTGACTCTTAATGACCACATAGTTTTTCTCCGCGATGATCTATCCCTAATCTGGCCTTTTACATCTTATAAAAGAGCACTCATCAGTGCAGTAACTGAATCCATCCTTTTTTCTGCTTGTCAACCTCTTGTTCTCTCCTTTCACTTTCCCAGAATTACACACCCTTCTCAACTTTTCCAGAAAGCTAGATCCAAAGTTTTAGCCTGGTCATTTGTGCCTTGAGTGACAACTCTGGGTTGATTTGTTTGATTACACTTTTGTTAGTTTTCTTGGATGGCCAGGATGTATAACAGAATAACAAAGTTGGAAAGGACCTTGAAGTTCTTCTGAAGTGTCCGCTTCAACATTAAAATTTAAAACAAAAATACATTTCCTATCCTGCTTTTTCAAAGCCCAGCTTTCACTTCCATAGAGTGTCTCAGGAAATTCCATATCTTGCACAATTCTGAGGTTATACATCATCACAGGATTTTAATGTTATTTCCAAGGCCTTCACGGCTACACTACCTAATGCTAATCTGTGGCATATTTCTTAAGTTTACCCAATATTTTTAGAACACTCATTTAATTATCAATTGCAAAGAAATGTTTTCTTGTAATGCTCAACTTCATTTAGAGATGCACGGGCATTTAACCTG